ATTATTAAAAAACTTTATTTCAAATAATAAAAGAATAATTGCCAAATAAATTTCAAGTTCAAAATGAGCGCAGATAAATATCGGTCCTATATTTACATACACATATAAAATAATAAATCGAGCAAGCCTATTTTATAAAAAAAATTGGTTATGCGGGCGGCAGCGTTATCGAGTGAGAAGTCCACGTTTTGAGCGTCAAGTGTTCTTCTAATAGATCGTGATATTCTCAGGCAGATTTTGTAATTTTACAAAAATTAAAATGATTTAATGTGCCCTCTGACCTGTTGTGCTTTGCCATTCTCTCTGTATGGATGATAAGTCTTCCCATCATCAGAACAATTAAGCTGGAATGCCTTGACCCATCGTTTTGTCTGGTGGTCACCCTGTGTTGACACAGCACAGATGATGTGGGGGGTCCCTAAGTCAATCTGTAGATAAGGGCTAGTGTCATTTCCCATAGCACACCACGATGTTCCATTAGTGTAGTTTAGTCTGGCCTGGTCACCTGCTGTCCCTGAAGATGCTGTAATCTTGTCAGCTGGCATGACTCTGTTCTGCATGCCAAGAGCAAGGTCTCGACAATCAACTAAAATATAAGGTATCGCATATGGATTTTTATGCGTTTTTGGTGTCCACTATTTCAAGGGTAGATCCAGGGGGGCTATATATTTGGCGGGTAGCCACCTCTCTTTGAAGTCGAAAATAATAATGTAATAACCTAACTATAAATTGTACGCTATTTAATACCTTTCTAGGTAACAAACCCCCTTGATTCTGTTGCCACTGTATTTTGATACTAATTTGTGGATATAACAAGGGTTGCCTTATCTTTATGTAATTAGGTTTGAAACTAAAGCTTAACAGGGGGTTTGAGAGTGGCATTCAAAACAAGCGTCGTGAAGTCAAACAAATCGGACTTGAGGACCTTTGTATCGTCGAAGTAGTTCATTGAGCTCTTGTTAATATATAACTTACCTATTTTAAGAACGATAGTTTCGCTAAATGGACCAGGACCTCCAATGGTGTATCCTCGTACAGTGAGGTTGTACTTCATGTTGTCTGTAAGGCTTATGCTCACCAGCATGTATGGTGACTCGCTAGCATTAGCTGCACGGGATACCACAGGTGATCGACGCATTCGTCTAGTCAAGGAAGACCAATTTATCTCGTAGGCAATAATCTTACCATTGCTTAGCTCTCTGGGTATTTCTTCCCATGACACGTTGTATTTTCCATTTTCAATCTTGATCACTTTTACGTTTGCTGGAGCAGATGACGGTTCTGTTTTGAGCGTAGTGAAAATAAGAGTGAGTATTTCTGTAGTCTTATCTTTGCACTGCACCTTTACACTGCACTGAAATCAATAGACCTAATTACCTTCGTATGTAAATTGTCCATTTCAAACCATGTCATGCTTACATGATGTTCTCTAGACAATTGTTTCTTTATCTTTCTGAAGTTTATTCATGTTGATATAATAAAACATTTCTCCAGAGAACTTCATATCATATGACTTGAAATGGGCAATTTACAAAAGAAGGTAATTAGGTATATTAACGCATCCTTCGTATTTAATGCAACTAAAGAAGTCGAAAAAATCAAGCTGACGTACGGTGGTGCACTCCTCTCTTACCTCCCACCTCTAAGTTGTCAGATTCGATTCATTGACTCGACATCACATTTAATTAGAGTTTGTTAGGTCTCTCCCCAGTTTCAAGGGTTTTTCTCCGGGTTCTACAGTTTTCTTCCCTTCGTAAAACCTAACCCGCTAAATTCCAATTTGATTTGATAATTAGCCATGCCTTGACTTTGGTCCTTCAAAGGGAATCGATAAAATTTCAAAAGTCATACGGTCATCCGGCTTTAGGATATGATTAGCACGTATCTGCAACTTATTAGAACATTATACAAGCATATGATCAGCCGAATTTGAACAATACTTACTACATTCTTGAATGTTTGCAGTCCAGGTTTCAGAGGGATCTCCAATAAGACCATTTGCATTGGCTTTCAAATAGAATTCAAAATGAGCTCCACCAATCACATTAACCGTGTAACTCATGCTCGTAAAATCCGTAATGGTCAATGACGTCATATTGCTATTTTTATCAATGACATAGTTATAAAATAGGGTATAGCTTGTTATATTTCCAATGGCTCTCATTGGTTTCTCCCACTTCAACGTTACAGTTGGTCTTTGGATCCCACGTTGAGGGTTGATTGTGGCGTTAAGATGTCTTGGTCTCGTGGGCACTACATTTTGTAGAAAAACAGAGAAACTAACTTTTGTCTGCTGATCTCAGTATAGAGGCATTCCAACCTCACGTGGTGGCAGCCACGACAAGAGGAACAACGATTCAAATTTATCTCGTTTCCAGTCGGTCATGGCTGCTATAACGTGATGCTCGGTGCAGAGCGTCTGTAATAGTTTATTAACGTAGGGTTAGGATCGTTTCAGCACACAATATATCACACAAATCAATGGGAAGGTAGAGAATGCGCAACCTTGAAATTCCACGCGGACTATCACTGATTCTTGACTGAAACACATCACCGATTATTGCAGACCTTTATTTCTTAGTTAAATTCCTATGTTGTTTATAAAAAGGTCTTTTAAAAAAATCGAAATTAAAACCGAAAACAAAAATACATACCTAATAATGTGGATATTTTTCCACTACTTTGCAGTTTTCTGTATGAACCATAATCGACTTGGCAAATGTAGTCCAAACTGGTACAGTGTCTTAGCGCTTTGTCACAAGAATATTTGTCATAAACATCCTCAGCTGATGTGTAGTTTACACGTACTGTTGATATGAGTATTGATCCTGTTCTTGCTGTACCGTTAGAGTAACTTGTAATGTCTGTATCGTTATGGTACCATTTGATGCTCAGTCCTCCTTCTGCTCTGCACACCAAGTCTGCATGCGAACCGTTACTGGGATGCAGTTTTTTGTTCCCTATCGGTGGTGGTATCGGTTGAGCTAACAATAAATGTACAAAAACCCTTTTTTATGTTTGCTTATACGTTTGAAAAGCTTCTATTTTATAACTTGAGATTTCTGTATTGAGTGTGCAGTCTTCTAAAGTTCTTCTGTTTCTGTGAAGTTATTCTATATTCCCACCCCACCCCGCAATAATTAACTCAGAATTTACATCTGCCTTCTCAACAAGACATTTGAGATGCGTACCTGGTTCTTTGGTAACACCATATATTTCTACTCTAAGGGCATATGCTTCAATCTTTCCTACAGGATAGAACCGTACAAATTTAGCTGCTAGAGGACTTGGCAAGGAATGCTTGATGATGATTGTCGCCTGATTTTCGTTACCAGTAAAAACCTGAACATATCGAGAAATAAAGTTACAGGAGAACCAAAGGGTAGGGTTGGTATCCTTTCCCCTCCTTCACAGTCCGATCTTTGAAAATGCCACAAATCCTAAACATAGAGTGCTACAAATCCGCTGATGCTCAAAACCTCACAAACTCTATGTTGAACAATATATGTGGAATGATTTCCGATCGCAAAGACGGACAATACAGTTGTAGACTGTTTTGTTCATAACATTTTAAGTTGATCAATCAGTAATTATCTATTGTATATATGTTTTTGCCCCAATTGATTTACCATTACCTTTTCCAAAGTTTTGCTTTCTACAGGCACCCATTTAATATTATCTATAGATCCTTTAACTTTGTACTTTACTGTCCTCTCGTCATTGTTCGGGTCACCTTGTGTAGCCACAGCAAACACGTAGTAAATCTCTCCAAGGTCTATTCGTAACCATGGGTTGGTATCATCGTCACGTGGTCTCCAGGAGCTGTTACCAAGGAGCCTAGCTTTGGCTGCAGCCCTCGTGTTGCTATAATTAGAACTTGCCGACATTTTGTTGTCTGGCACGGCGATGCTATTGGATATACCAATGGCTAATCGCGTATAATCTAAAAATAAAGAAAAATTGTATGTACTTTTTAAAAAAGCTGAATCTACTATGAATATTTTATACTTTATATTAATTGAGGGGAAAAAGTGTTAAAAAGATGATTACAAGTTAAAGCTAGATTTTTACTTCGATAACGATGATTACGTTAAGCCAGCTGTGATGAAAGTCATCGACAAAAAGCAATATGGAGACTATGCCAAACTCATCAACAACCCTTGCTCTGATTAGTATGGACGACATAACTGGCTAAAAGGAACTGATGGAACTGGGTCTACAGAAAGAACTATATTACTTGACTATCGCAAAGCTTTCGACTTAATTGATCATGAGATTATTATTAAGAAAGTTTCTCTGTTAGACCTACCTAATAGCATAATTCAATTGGATAATAGACTTTTTACCAAATCGCTTAAAATGAGTCAAGTTAGCCTCTAGTTGTTTTTCTGGGTGGGGTAACTAACCCTCGGGTATACTATAAGGTATAAAATCAGGCCCGTACTTATTTCTAATAATGATTAATGATTTAACTATTACTCAGTCTCCCTTGTGGACGTTCGTTGATTATAGAACGGCTTTTGAAATAGTGCCCAGAGGTGCTTTACTGTGTACGGAGACCATAAACAAGAACAATATTCAAGGCGAGGCTTGACTAATGTGCAATATAAGAAATTTCTAGTAGTCGTATCAGTAATGTCCCGGCAAACTCTCTTTATCAAGCCGAGCGTCCTGTTAGCTTTGGACGCCACTTACTCGATATGTCTAGCCCACTGCAGGTCAAGCTACGGTGATGCCCAGATCACTCGTGAACGGCACGCACTCCTGGGACTGGCCTCCCAGATTTTAGGACCAGTTGCTGGTTGGTATCTTCTTTTGGATATGTGCAAGGCCTTACATTTAGACACGTTGAAGGTCATGCTCCAATCCACACTCCACTGGTGAAGTCCATCGAGGTCTTGCTGGAGGAATGGGGGTGTACTTGCAGAGTCCAGAGTTCTGTAAAGTTTGGAGTCGTCTGCGAAGAGAGCGAGTCAGAGTAGAGTCACTAGAGACATAGTCAGGTACGTCATTTGCATAGACAAGAAACATCAACGGTCCAGTTATTGAACCTTGAGGGACTCCCGAGGAGAAAGGAAGCCAGCTAGAATAGGCACCCTCTACAGCTACACACTGGTGTCTCTGAGACAGATACTTCTGAACCACTCTAGCAGGGACCGCTAGATACCATATCGCGTCAATTTCGCCAGCAGTAGATGGTGTGGGACCTTACCAAATGCCTTAGATAGGTCGAGGTAGAAGGCGTCGATCTCCTTGCTACTGGCCAATGACCTGAGGTCGTGATAGACCTTGAGGATCGAAGTTGTGTCTCTGACGATCGTCCCTTCAGGAAGTCGTGCTGGAGGTGATAGAAGAACTACGTCAGATGAGGACAGTAGCGGTTGAACACACAGCGTTCGAGTACTTTGGACACAAATTACTGTGCACAGAAGCGAGATGGGCCTCATTGTAGTTGGGATTGAAGGATCTTCCTTTTTGTAAACAGGGGCCACATTAGCTTGCTTCCAGTCAGCAGGGACGGGACCAAGCGAAAGAGACAAGTTAAATAGCCGACATAGGCTTGAAGCGATTTTTATTTGTGGCCTTGAGAAGTCACCCGAGGATGTTGTCGGGTCCACAGGTTTTACTGGGATCAAGGTTTACCAAGACCTCAGCCACTTCTGATGTTAACAGCTGAATGTTGGATAACCACTAACCGCATCTAGGCAAGGACTCCGGGCTCTCATCCGTGGTTGGCGTAAAGACGGAATGAAAGAAGGAATTCAATAAGTTTGCTCAATCTTCTCTGTTCGTCACAATTTTCTGACCATCCCGTAAGATGTTAGAACAGGATGTTTGTGAACACGATTCTTTAACAAAAGAATAGAAACGCTTTGTCTTCTTTTTCAGCGACATCAGTTTCTTGGTCCCGCGTCGGAGGTCTCTGAATTTCGCCAGCTCTTCAGGACTCCCTGTCTTGCACTCTTTAACTCTCTGAATGTTTTTTTTTTTTTCGGACCAGTTTCAATAGATCATTGTCAAGCTAAGGGTGGTCGTAAACATTTCTGGCTCTGCGTGTTGGCACGTGGTCATTTACTGCCGAGAGAAAGAAATCGCACCACTTTGACAAAGATGTGTCAATGCCATTTGGAACAAAGCATAGGTCCTAGGGGGTGTTATTAAGGACCTCTTTCAGACCGCCCCAGTTGGCTTTTTTAAAGTTGTAAACAAAGCGCTTCGTATATAGGTTTTTTTTGGAACATTAAATTCAAAACAAAGCTGATGAGTAGATGGTCGGTACTTATTATATCCTCGAAACCGTGTACATCGGAAACTTTATCTGGTATATTCGTGAGGGTTAAATCCAAAGTATTGCTGTTCCTCGTCGGGAAATCAACCATTTGCCACAAGTAGTTGCCTTTCACTCGCTTGGAAAAGTACTTATGGATGTTATCGCTAGTAGTCTCAGTTCCAGTATTCCAGTCAATGTTTGGCAATGTTTGGCATTGATAAAAGCAGGATTATATTTTTTTGAAACGATATAGCTGACTTCAGAGGTAAAATATTTCCTTAAAGGGTTGTAGAGATGCCTATACCTCTATGGTTTCCAAAGGTTTCTTTTGACACTGCCCGAAAATGCCTCGTTTTCATGTCTGTAATATTTATAAAAGCGCTCGCGGATCTCGGTAATCGTCATTTGAGACTCATCCAGACCCTGCTCTGTGCCAATATCATTTTGTAGTCACTTACCTTCAGTGTGAACTTCAACTTCACACAATGTGAGAAATTCCGAATGATTGTCAAACGTGATAGTCAAGAACCGTCCCATCATGCTTTGATGGCAGTAGATAGACGTTCCAATCCCAGASGGYAGTGGGCCCTKCACACTGYTACAAACGGGATTTGATTTACCGCCATTGCTTRAACTCCCACCTAGTAATGAAAGATATTCGTGTTATKAATYATTTTATACAAWGACATTAATATAGCTATTGTCCTCGCTSTTCTTTATTGGYMACTYKAGAAACGARTRAAGGACTGRGAACRAGTATATGGAAGGTATTGATAATCARTCTTATTAAAGATACATTTCCWTGACGAGAAAGAACATAWCACAACTAACAGGTTTCTGCAGYATGGCTTTGATTRGCTAAGTAACAGCTAAATYATAAGCAATCGATCAGTATGTTCACTAGGGACAAGCGTCCCCAGTAACCATACGTTTCTTTATTATTTTTGAGATGTTTCTACAAAACCAAAATCTTGAAACTCCAGAAATTTACTAATTTTGATGTACTCTTTCTTGTTATGGTGTTTGTTTTTTAACTAGGTTAATCCTTAAAAACTCGTTCCCAGTCCTCAACGCGTTTCCAAGTGGCCAATTGTCCTAGAGAAGCGCGCACGGGGGACGTGACACGCAGTCGCTTTCCCAACTCGGCATGGTATGTGAATAGATTACCAATTGATGGGATGCAAGCATTCCCAAGAGAGCTTAAAAAAGACAAAAACATGGCGGCCATTGTGGTACCGTTAACAATGGATGCTAATGAGAAATATTTTGTTAAATGGCACCAACATGGCCGGGATGACGTAACGTGCAAACGAAGACGTTTTACTAAAAACTATGAATTTGTAAAGCTAACCGCATTGACCAGCTTTATGGGTGAATGTCACCCTAATCACGACGCCATTCCAAAAAATGCAGATCATGTTTCAAAAAGAAAATGCTTGCATCTTTTAGTAGTTCTCCTGTGAATGCTTATTGTTCAAATTTAATATTAAATGGAATTATTTACCAATAAGAATTAGAAAGTCGTGCAGTCTCTCGGAGTTAGAGGCCCTATTAACAATAAACACCTCATACACAGGTATACCCTGACCAAGATCAACCATCCACCAGGCTCCGTAATCATGCTGGGTGTGGGTGCAGCTTTTACCATTAAAGCTTGGATTAGGAATCCCATCAACTGCATGATCAGGTGGTCCACCCGGATAAGTACTGGACTGTGTTGCTGTTTTATGGTAGGCGTAGTTTACTTTAGAGGCTGAGAAGAAATAAATAGATGTAGTAAATGATATATTACAATAATGCAGTCACAACATACCTTCTTAGATTCAGGGCGTGACGTTTTCCCGTTTCAGCCCACCAGCCATTCCCTAGAGTATTACTTCTTTGTTTAACGGTTGCGCATGAGAAGACACACAAATATGAATACGACTCAAACATTTTTTTCTCAAGACATGTACGGGGTCCCAAATGAAAAAGCATTCACTCAAGGAAAAGAGGACGGTTCCATCTCGCAAGATAACTATAAGGTGTTTTTATCTTACCTGACTGGAGTTTTACTCCATATATCTCAGCTCTCATACAAACAGCTCC